CTCCTTACCATATGGAAATTGCCATTTCCACTGAAATTGAACTCACACTGCATCATATCAAAGAAAATGGGGATGGTGGCTTTTCGCAGCTCCACTTCGGGGGTCAGGGTGACTTCCAGAATGGGACCCACCATAGATGGGATGAACTTGATTTTGTGGGGACCTGAAATGAAGGTAAATGGGGATATGAAACAATCACTTTGCTATTAAGTCAAGCGTTACAATCATCCTCGACAGGGCCCGTAAGAAAAGAAAGAGTGCATGTGGGTAAGGCACCTGGGTGCAGAAGTGAGGGATGAAATACTGATAAACTGTGGATGCCGTAGGAGCAGAGGGCTCATGTCCCAGCTGAGGTGAGGGTGTGAAAGCCACAGGTGAGCTTTCACCTCCAGGCACACGGTACACCTCAGGACCATTTGAATTGAGATAGGAGTCCACTTGGGTGCTTATCACAATGGAGCTGTGCTGGGGCCCGTTCAAGGTCAGACACTCACCCAGGTTATACCACATGTCCCGGATTCTAAAGCCGATTTCCTTTCTCATGTCCCCATATCTAGGAAGAAGAGCATAAACGGAGAAACGGGTTGCATGCAAGAAAGTCACTCCGGAGTCTCTAGGGGGCACTGGATCAGGACCCCTCAGACTCCACAATCTGCAGGTGCTCAGACTCCTTATATGGAAGAGCACAGTATTTGCATACAACGACACACATCCTCCTGCATACTTCAAAGTGTCTCCATGTTACTCGTAAGATCTCATACCAGGTAAATGCTGTGCAAATACTGGTTATAGTGGATGGCTTGGGGAATGAAGACAAGAAATACGTGTTCGATACAGGTGTGATTTTCCCCCCAAATATTCTTGATCCCTTTGTTGGGGGATGCAGAACTCACAGACACAGAGGACTATGTGTTCAATGGTGAGGGGAATAAAATCAGCCTGAGTCCTTTGGGTCACACATGAGACATTGACACTGTAAGAGAGGAGGGCAGTACCAAAATCAGCCTCAAAAGAGAAGTGAGCCCCATGGAGGGCAGAGGACTTATGACCAGAAGGAACCAAATGTAAGTGCTGAAAAATAACTAAGAAGGTGAGATGAGCCGGGCGCAGGGGCGCACGCCTGTAATGCCCGAGGTTCAGGAGGCTGAGGCAGGAGGGTTGTGAGTTCAAAGCCAGCCTCAGCAAAAGCAAGGTGCTAAGCAGCTCAGTGAGACCCTGTCTCTAAATAAAATACAAAAAGGGGCTGGAGAGGTGGCTCAGTGGTGGAGTGTCCCTGAGTTCAATCCCCGGTACCAACCCCCCCACACAAAAAAAGGTGGGGGTGTGGCTCAGTGGTTAAGCACCTCTGGGTTCAATCCCTGGTACAAAAAAAAAGTGAGATGAACAAACTGATTTCAGGGGAAAGAATGATAAACACTCAACATAAACTAATAAAGAGGAAGAGGACTGAGGGCTGGCTTCCACAGGCACGTGACGGGGGCTTGCCAACGGGCTGAGGTACGCACTCATACTGAGGGGCAATGTACACCTGTTCTTCAAAGTTCTCACCCTGGGAAGCGGCATTCTCAGGGCAATAGAGCCCAGGAAGGGGGAAAACCTGTCCTTGGGGGAAAAACCCAGAGCTTACTGCTTTCCTACAGATGGAGCAGATAGTCATACAGCTCACCAGCAGACACTGAGGAGGAGCAGGCAAACACTGGTCTAGGCAGTGACTCTGGGCTGACTAGGGGATTCCTGCATGGAGGCCAAGCCCATGCTCCTGGACATCTGTGAAGAATTCTTACGCCTGAGGCTGCCCCACCCCACCTAGCACATCAGAGGCTGGGGGCTGAAATGGGGTAGGTCGTGACATCTCCTGGGAACACTCAGGCTCACAAACCACCCTGTGGTTGCTGCTCTAGACTATTTTAGTGACGCTTTGATTGCCCCAACATTTTTTATTCAAATTCTTCCATTGTAAATGCCTTCATAGCATATTTTCTTCCTTTTTTCAGTGGTGCATTGAAGTCATGGAACATAGGAATGGAACTCACTGCAACACACATTGGTACATGATATAAATTTGGTCATTTTGATCCTAGTAAGAAGCTAGTAGTAAAGATCCTAGTAGTAAAGTTGTGATCCTCCCGCCTCAGCTCCTTTTTTTTTTTTAAAAAAATCACATTTAAAAAATTGTAACTATTCCATCTAACAAAATGCTTGACCTTATTTTATTATTAAAGTTAGATGAGCCTATGTCATCGAGATTTGGGATTTAACAGACAGAAGTATCACTATTCCTATTGTTTAGTACTTCTGCTGATCCTACTTTAAGAAAGCTTGAAACAAATCCTCACATTTCTATAACTTTAATATAACTGGTTTTATTCCCCAAATTTTCTCTTTGCCCTTATACACACACGTTTTTACATGGTTTCTATTCACTGTCATACTTTTTTTTTTTTTTTTTACCAGAACCAGAATCATTAATCCTAAGTAGCCTTTTTTTTTTTCTTATCAGACTTGCAATCAAGTAACTTCACTTACAGTCACTGAACCCAAATCAAATCCATCCCTTAAAGAAGTTACACTGTTACTTAAGACATTCTAAAGCAAGTGACCAAGGGATGGAGGCAGTAAGTGTTTCCCCTTGGGGAAATCTACAGAACAGGCCATACTGTAATCTTTTTCTTCCTTCTTTCTTTTTGGTGTGTGTGTGTGTGTGTGTGTGTGTGTGTGCGCACGTGTATGTGTGTGTATGTGTGTGTGTGTACGTGTGTGTGCACGAACTAGGGATGGAACCCAGGGGTGTTCTACCACTAAGTTGCCCCCCAGCTGTTTTTATTTTTTAATTTGAGAGAGCGTCTTGCTAAGTTGCCCAGGCTGGCCTTAAAGTTGTGATCCTCCCGCCTCAGCTCCTGAGTCACTGTGATTACAGGCATGAGTCACCACGTCCGTCTTCTATTTTTGTATATTAGAGCACAGTCCTGTTGGATATGGTGGCACAAGTCTGTAATCCCAGCAGCTTGGGAGCTGAGACAGGAGGATCACAAGTTTGAGGTTAATCTCAGCAAGTAAGTGAGAGCCTGTCTCAAATTTTAAAAAATTTAAAAAGAAAGGGCTGGGGATGTGGCTCAGAGGTAGAATGCCCTTGGGTTCCATCCTCGGTACCACCCAAAACAAAAACAACCCCCAAAACACAGTCACTGCCAACCTCAGTTGTTTTAGGAAGGAAACAGAAATATAAAAATGTTAAATAATTTGCCTAAAACCCTGGATACTCCAAGCAGGGGAAATGGATATAAAATTTCAAATTTAAATTAAAAATTCCTCAAGTCACTCTTATACACTGCTTTGCCTTTCCAGAATCTAAATTAACTCGACACAGACCAGAGACGAAGACAGCGAAACCCGTCCCTAAATCTCCCACATTCCTGGACCTGAGTCCATTCTAAATTCCAAGCCAGAAACCTGGAATTTCAGGCTGTTGGCTTCTTGGCTTTTCTGCCGAAGTGACAGTCGGTGACTGTGCCAAAGGGATTCCCTTGTGAAGCGGAAGGAGGCACTGCACCTGCAATTCAGATGAGCTGCCAGCAGGTGGCAGCTGTTCCTGGGCCCAGGAGGACACAGGGCACCTTTCCAGGCAGATGATTGATGGGAATGTGAGAAAAAAAAAAAATGTGACCTGAGGGAATCTGAGTTATCAAGTGACTAAGACCCACCTCACCATCACTACCCTTAGCGACTACTACGGGTAGTCACTGAACACTGTATTCCTGCAGCACCCAAAGTACAGCTCCGAATGTGCACAGAAGAATCGCCTTTCCCATCATCGCCAAGTTTACAAGGTCACTTACTTTTTTACAATTTTGTGGCGCTTGGCTTGTGAGAAGGTTTCCAGCTGAAGGGACTCATGGGTGAGAAACGCTACCGCCAAATGGAAGTAATTGTTCCAGAGCTGTTCAACATGATGTGAGCACAAAGAAACGGAAAAGAACATTAGTGTGGGTCATACTAAAACAGACACGTGGCAGAAAGTCACTAACCAGGGACTCATGAAAAAGTAAGATCCACAGGACTTTTAGTTCTCTCTTGGGTTTGATTCCATCGTAAAAGTATTAAGAGTTAATATTCAGCTCTCCCCACCCACCCCACCATTGCCAATTCAAACTTTTACGTTCTTCTTTGCTCCTGGGATAGGGAAAAAGTACTGCCAAGAAGTACACCTATTTATAGTAGGGGGTTTGGCAACACATATCAAAAGCCCTAAAATTGTGCCAAACATTTGAACTCGCAAATACTTTCAGGACTTCTTCCTGACCAAATAACTGTGGAGAGTTAAAAGTATTTAAAACAAGGAAGGTCAGCACAGTGCTGTTTAACATAACAGAAAATGGAAACAACCTACGTGTTCTCAGGAAGAATCTGGTTAAATAAATCATGAACCGGCCATGTAGTGGACTGCACTCAGCTGTGAAAACTACTGCGAAAGTAGTTAACATCATTCAAAAAATGATGAAGTAAAGAAGTAAAGAAAACAAATTAACAGGTCCCAGAGCACGGCACAGTGCGAGTCTGTTTTGGTGGGTGTGTATGTGCGTAAATATAAACGTAAGGCAATACGTATATACACACACGCACGTGTGTGTCTACTTATACAGATGTAGATGCCTGTGTGTGTATCCTTACGACTTTCCACGCTCAAAATGCTACTGATACAAAAAGGCACAAGACACAGAAAAATCACATCACCAACAGAACACAGTCTGGAACACAGACTCCATAAGACCTGGGACTTGGTGAGCCTTCGCCAGGGACAAGAACAGGTAAATACTCTTGATGTTGGTTGGAAGAAGGAAAGAAGGCTTTACAACTACTGTGGACGTTCCAAATAGCGCACGGATACATAAAAAGCAACACCAGGATAGTGCCCATTGGCCTGCTGCCTAGGACAGAGCCACTTGAGGTGGGGAGCTGTCTAAGCACGTTTTTGCAACCACATGCTTCTGTACATTTGTGCCTGTACACAGAGGATCACACCACGATGTTAACAGTGAAGGCCAAGCCTGCAGCGGTCCCCTTGTCCCTGATTTTGTTTTCTGAGGTTTCAGTTCCCCTCGGCTAACCGAGGTCCCAAAATATTAATATTTATCTCGACTCTTTCAAGAAAGAAAAACCACATTTGCACTACAGTATCTCATTATCATTGTTGCATTTACTATTATTTTTGTTGATCTCTTACTGCGCCTATTTTGTGAATCAAATTTTATCATACACATGGTTATCTACAGGACTCGGGACGCTGTGGCTTCGGGCATCCCCTGGTGGCTGTAGAATATAACCCCCACAGAAAAGGGAGATTACTGCGTTTATATTTTTTTACTTTCTTATTTATTTGTTTGTTTATTTATTTTAAAGATATTTTTTAGTTGTCTTTGGACCTTTATTTATTTATTTACATGTGATGCCGAGGATTGAACCCAGTGCCTCCCTCACACATGCCGGGCAAGTGCTCTGCCCCTGAGCTACAGCCCCAGCCCAACCTTCTTGTTTTGGGGTAGCTGCATTTTCTCAGTATGACTTCTTTACCTTTCTTTTTGTGTATGTTGCTTTTCCAGAAAGAAAAAGCTCCATCTTATTGCAGCTGGAGGACCATGTGACAGGAGTGTGCCCCTCAGGGAAAGAGAGAACCACGGAACCCTCCCCCGGTGACGATGAGGGGACGGGAGGTGGCCCTCTCCTGGCCGCAACAGCTCTGTTGCTGTGGCTGAGACTTCCAGGGACCTCCAGCAGGTGGGGCGCTCACCTGAAGCTCAAAGCTGGCCTGATCCATGAAGAGCCTGGTGAGGACCTCTGTGAACTGATTGATGGCGCGGAGGAACACCCTGGGGAGAAAGCACCAGACTGGGAGGTCGACTCCGCCCTCGGACACTTTGCCCTCCACGTTAAAATAAAGCCACACCACCCCAGACTGCCAAGAAAAGGCCATCTGATCTGCCAGTGTCCTCTGAGACTACGCCCGGGCAGAGTCTGTGGAGTTCAGTTTTCCCAACTGACTGGCCAAGTCTCAGCTAGCTGAGGTGACACGCAGCGGGCATGGGCCCCTGTGTGGGCGATTCATACTCCACAGTGATGCTTCTATATCTTTATTATTTATGATACGGGGGATTGAACCCAGGGATATTTTACCACTGAGCCATATCCCCATTATTTTTTATTTTGAGGCAGGGTCTCATTAAGCTGCTGAGGTTGGCCTCCAACTTGTGATCCTCCTATCTCAGCCTCCCAAGTTGCCAGAATTACAGGTGTGCATTACCATGCCCAGAGATGCTTCTCTTTTAGAGTCTAGGGCTTCTGGTGCTGAAGAAGTTGGGAAGGGTTTTTTCCTAATCAGACATCAGGACCACGTATGGTTAATAATAATCACCGTAAAGTGATTTGTCTTAATTAGCTCATTAAGAAAAATCTGAAGTTCTTTTACTATAATATACATATATATCCCATTCATCTACTTGCTATTCAACCAGTATCTGTTGTAGGCCAGCATCTGCAAGGCACTCACTTAGGTGCTGTGTCAAATACACAGTTTCCAGTCTTCCAAGGGTTACAACACCAAGGAGGAATCTTAACCATCTAACGTGAGCCCGGATCCAATAGAGAACGTGAAACAAATCCCATGAGAGGGCTTCAGAGGGGGTTCCCAGCATCCAAGGAAGAGAAGGCAATATCCAGGCCAGAAAGGCCTCTGCTGGGGGAAATGGTCTTAGGGGATGGAGGGAGGTTGAGAGGTGTGGGGAGGACACTGACATGGAGGGAGCAGCAGAGGCAAAGGATCAGTAGGAGAATGACAAGGAGACCGGTCCCCACCGAAGACAGCAGAGACCCTGAATGGGGCAACCCTGCAGCCCAGGTGAAGTGGAGCTCCTGGCAGGACGTCAGGGTCACAGGAGCAGGAAGATGAGGCCAAGCACAGAGACGGACCAGCCCTTCCCCGAGCCCCCACGGCAGACGGGGCAGAGCCAGGCTCCCGGGTGGGCCCCAGGTCCTCACCTGCTCTGCGTCATGTTCATCACCATCCAGTCTTTGGCATAGACGTTCTTCCCGATCAGATCCTTGAACATGATAAAGGTCTCCATGAGGAAGTCCTGCGGAGAAGAAAGGAGGGACGTGTGGACAGAAGAACCGCGTCAGCACCAGTCCTTCCTCGTCCCAGGTCACCGCCCGTCCTGTAGGACAGAGGGACAAGGACGCGTTCTCCGAGCAGGCTGCCATATGAGGCGATTTTTGCACTGCATGATTCTATAAGGAAAACAAGGACAGAAAGGTGGTCCACGTGTTTTACAAGTGGTGTGCCTGAGGCTGACACATTAAATGACCTGCCCGAGACCAGGGAACCAGGAAGCAGGAGAGCTGCAGGGACCCGGGGCTTGCGGACCCCACGTTTCCAGCTCTTGTTTCTCTTTAGTCCTCCTCTGGCACGTGCTGCTGGAAATAGCTCTCCTGCTTAAAAATGAATCAACAACCGTGAGGAAATGGGAACTTGGGACAGATGGGAGTTCCATTCTTCCTTGTCCTGGTTAGAACAGATCAGAAGCACTGTACCACGCAGCAGTGCACGAGCCTTCCAGCTGCACAGAGGTTCTCACGTGTAGCCTGCAAGAAAAGTCCTTCACGGCTCCTACAAGGAGCTGGTAACGGTCGCTCAGGATAACTGGAAGAACCAATAACTAAGTAAAGCACAGAGCTCTTCTCATCCAAAGGCAGTTGTGAGCAAAAAGGAATTAAAAAAAAAAAAAAGCAACAAGACTAAAAGGCAAAGCTATCAAGTTTTGAAAGCACTTCCATTGGACCCATTTAGACCTTCTGCACTGGGATCCCTGAAATGAAAATGCAGTTTGCATTCTCGGGCACTAACCCACAGGTCCCACCTTTGAAGCACACTGCACTGCAGTGAGGATGTGGTGCTTGAGAGGCACTGGTGGTTGAACCCAGAGGCACTTGACCACTGAGCCACACCCCCAGCCCTTTCCTGTACTTTAGGTGGAGACAGGGTCTCACTGAGTTGCTGAGGCTGACTTGGAATTTGCAATCCTCTTGCCTCAGCCTCCCAACCTCTAGGATGACAGGCGTGCACCCTCATGCCCAGCTATTTCTAAAGACATTTCTCTAAGACACTGGTTAATCTGCTAGTTTCCTCTACTCTTGATGTCAGTGGCACACAAACAGGAATGATTCTGGCAGGAACTTGCTGTGTTTTTGTTTTATTTTTTTTGCTCTGCTGGAAGTTGAACCCACAGCCTCAGACACGCTAGGCAGGTGCTCGGGCACCACCGAGCTACAGCCCAGCCTCGTCTTGCTGCACTTGATCCGATCTTCTGGTACAATAATGAGTCAGGCCTATCCATCCTCAGTTCTGGAATCTTTCATGAGTTTACCATTTTATTTTCACCATACGTGATCAATGCTTCTACCCATTTACTGACCGTTCTGTTATTATTATTATTTGGTTCAATAAACATGATTTCTTGGTTTGTGATGAAAATGGAAAACGGATCAACTGGAGATGCCAGTTATCTGCATCCGACACGGTCTACACTCAGTTCTTGGTCATCACTTCAGAAGGCAAGAATCCCAAGACCTCCAGCTGCACCCCACTGCCAACGCGTT